GAGAGGATAGTGGTTAGAGCTGAAGCTGGATGGATGGTTATGGGGAAAGGGGCAAGCGCGAAAGCCCTCGGACTGATCCCGTTCCTCCTCGCCTGGCTCTGCATCTTCCCCGCAGGTAAGGAGCACAGCCCCCCCCCTTTGTTTGTTTGTTTTTGTTTCTGTTTTTCTCGCTTTAAAACTTCCCTTGGAAAAGATGTGCTTGCAAAACCCAGTTCCAGCTCCCCTTTCCGACTGGCTGTCCGCCCAGGGCCTCGTCCTTCAGCCTTTGGCCGCGTGCTGGAAAACATCGGAGGGAGCCGGGTCGTTTAGACCCAGCCGGATGCCCCCTTTCGGTGCCCGTTGTTTTTTTTTTTTTTAAATGCCTCCCGTGTTCCTTCGCCCGGCCTTTGTCTCTACCCCCAAGACGGAGGACCTTCAAGGATGTCTCCTTTGCGAGAGAGAGAGGCGGAAAGAAAGCTCGATGTCGAAGAGCCAAGTTCGAAGTAGCCTCTGGATATCTGAAGCCTAGGCTGGGAGCGAACGCTGTCTGTGGGGGGGTGCCTCGAGCCCCCACGGCCTGGCTTACCCATTTGGGAAATCAGAGCAGCGGGCTGGTTGGCTGCACGTCTTTCCTTCGCGGTGGGAAAGTCTCCCACCAACTCTTCTGAGATGGACCCGTTGAGGGGCGTCTGAAAGGGCTTTGCGAGATGGACGATCCATGGGTTGCCCCAGTCTTGCCTTAAATGCGGGGTTTAGGAATAGCTTCTCGGCATAGTTCGGAGTGCTCGTTTTTGACCTAGGGATCCCTAAATGGTCGGGAGCCAGCAGGGATCCTAAAGATCGCCTTCCGCCGAGAATTGGCTTCTCCTTTAAGATCTCTTCCCAGGGTCCTTATGCCTCTTCCCCGAGAGAGCTTCGCGGAGAGACTCTCTCTGAGAGAGGTCCATCGGGGCCCCGCTTCGTTTAAAATGGGCTGGTTGCGGTTCAGCCCTCTTGACTTGAGTCATTTTCAAAAGTTGCAGCCTGCTCGCCGTTTCCAAAGATGCCCTCTCTCGTTCTTCGTTCAGGATCTCGGGTTAGAATTCTCAGATTGGTTTAAGATGTTCAAAGGGGAACGTCGCGTTCTGGAAATAAATGCGCGCCCGTCGCCCGTCGCTTTTACTTAATTGATTAAGGCTTGCATCTCTGAAATAAGTTATGATTTTATTATGGGGGGGGAGGAAGATGGCGCCGATGAGCTGACAGCCCAATCCTCTTGCTCCGTCCTTCATTTTACTCTTTTTTTCTTCGCAATTTTTTTTTGGGGGGGGGCGGGAGGGAAACAGACAAGGGACGTACATTTTGACACCCCCTTTTTTGGGGAGGGGGGAAAAATTGGAGGACTATGTCGGCCGATGGATTTCTTCGGCTGTAACCTGCTCTGTGCTGTGAGCTCTTGTTCCGCGCTTAGCAAAATTGCCAGATGTTGATCTACTTAATATTTCAAAGCCCAAAGAAGGAGGGCGGGGGGCGGCTGCTGAAAAAATACAGACACTGACAATGTTTTGATCTCTTCTCTTGATTCCCTCTTCTTTGCATCCTCCCCCCCC